ACAAGAGGTTGGGACAAAAATCTGACCTGCGCTAATACAAATAAACGTGTATCAAGAGCTGCATACATCAGGCATAGAATGGCTTCTAGGGACAACAATGTATTTTTAAAGGGTGGTAGATTATTTCAGCAATGGATTGTCGACAGTTATGTGAAAATTGAAAAAGATAGGAGAAATTTCTCTCGAAATAATCAAAAGAAACTTCGTGCAGATACTTACGAAGGTCTAATTGATCATTTGCAAAGAAGAGCTAATGATTTGAACAATGAAGTTGGGAAAATTGTAATACTTCTATCATCTTTCACAGGTTCTCCGAGAAATATGTTACAGCATTACCAAGATGCAATGGCTATTGTGAGAAAATTTGGTAAACCTGATCTTTTTATTACGATGACGTGTAATCCAAACTGGCGTGAAATTAAGGAAAATTTATTACCTAACCAAACTGCCTTTGACAGACCAGATATTGTATCGCGTGTTTTTACCATAAAAAAAGATAAACTTATTAATACTATTGTAAAGGAACAATTATTTGGCGAAGTGATTGCTTATGTGTATGTCATTGAATATCAAAAACGTGGATTGCCGCATATGCATTTATTAGTGACTTTGAAACAAAATTATAAAATAACAACACCCGAGATTGTAGACAAATATATTTCGGCAGAAATTCCAAGTCAATCAGAAAATGTTATACTTCATGACATCGTTATGAAAAATATGATTCATGGCCCATGTGGAAATTGGTGTAAAGATAATAATAGTAAATGTTTGAAAGGTTTCCCAAAACAATTCTGTTCTGTGACAATAATGGATGAAAACGGATACCTAACGTATCGCTGCCTTAATACAGGACAATACGATCGCCTAAATGGAGGAACTACAGATAATCAATACGTTATTCCATACAATCCTACATTACTTCAGTTATTTAATTGTCATATTAATGTAAAAGTAGTTTCAAGTATTAAATCCGTAAAATATTTGTATAAATATATTTTTAAGGGACATGATGCTGCTGCTGTAGTAATTACCGATAGTAGTGATAATACAAGTTCTTTAGAATATGATGAAATAAAAAACTTTATTGAAACTCGATATGTTAGTCCTGTTGAAGCATGTGATAGAATATTTGGTAGACCATTACAGAGTAAAAGTCATTCTATTCTCCGATTACCTGTTCATTTAATTAATCGGCATACTGTAACCATTAGTGAAGAAGCAAATGATGATGCTATAAATGAAGCTTTACAGAAACGGACTATGTTATTAGAATATTTCGATTTAAATAGGCGTGATCCACAAGCTAGACAATATACATATGCAGAAATTCCATGTTATTATGTTTTTAAGAAAGAACGTGGTGAAAATGCATTAAAATGGGTGAAGCGTAAAGGGTCATTTAATGTCATTAGACGGATGTATTCAATTTCGCCCAGTCAATCAGAACTGTTTCATCTTAGATTACTTTTAATAGTAGTTAAAGGCGCTACAAGTTATGATGATCTGCGAACTGTCAAAAATATTTTACATGACATTTTTCGTAGTGCATGTTTAGCATTAGGCCTTATTAAAGATGATGGAGAATGGGAACGTGCTTTGACAGAAGGAGAAGTATGGATGATGCCACAACAATTAAGACGTTTATTTGTGCGTATTTTAATTTATTGCCATCCAGTTCATCCAAACGAACTTTGGGAAAAGTTTAAAGAGGCTATGTCTGAAGATTATCAGAAAAATTATCCATCTAATGAAGCTCATAAAAGAGCATATAATGATATAATTAACTTTCTGTTGCATGAAGGATCAAATATTAGCAATTTTCCTGAAATGATACAGTTAAATGAAATAAGTATTGAAACAGAAAATCAAGCGAACAACGAAATGTCATTGCAACAACATAAAGAGATTGGTGAAATGCAATATGTGAAACTGAATTCCAAACAGAAGGATATTGTTGATGAAGTATTAAATGTAGTTATTCAAGATAAAAGAATACCATCTTCTTCATGTTATTACATTGATGGACCAGGTGGATCCGGAAAAACTTTTGTTTATACAACTTTATACCATTTGTTAAGAAGTAAAGGAAAATGTGTTTGTACTATGGCATTTACAGGCATTGCCGCAATATTACTTCCCCGTGGTAAAACTGTACATAAAACATTTGGGATGCCTGTTCCATTGTTTTATGATTCTACATCAAATATTAAAAGTCAATCTAAGGAAGCTACATTTTTGAAAGAGGTTGATGTCTTTATTTGGGATGAAGCTCCAATGGCGCCAAGATATGCTATGGAATTAATTGATAGAACATTACGCGATTTTATGAATGTTGATATGCCATTTGGTGGAAAAACTGTGCTTTTGGGTGGTGATTTTAGACAATTATTGCCTGTTAAAGTTAATGCTACTAGAAGCAAATTAGTTAATTTATCTATTAAATCTAGCACATTATGGAGTCATTTTAAGGTGATATCATTAACAGAAAATATGAGAACTTTACCTGGTGAAAAAGAATTTCCAGAATATTTATTATCAGTTGGAAATGGTACTTTAAATGATAATGATAATAATATACTAGCACCAGAGCAATGTGTAGAAAATGGTGATATTCATAAAATATTTGGAGAATTAATTATCAATAATAAATACGATGATTTAGCAAAAGTAGCAATATTGTCTGCTCGAAATGTTGATGTTGATGAAATTAACAACAAGGTACTCGAACTGTTTGATAATAAAAGTGAGCGAATTTATACAAGTGTTGATAGTACCGAAAATTGTGATAATGGAAGTATAAATGATGCTATTTTACCAGAGTATTTGAATACTTTAAATCCATCAAATTTCCCGCCTTATGAATTACGATTAAGAGCCAACTGTATTGTCATGCTACTTCGAAATCTTAGTATTAATGAAGGTTTATGTAATGGAACGCGAATGCAGGTATTAGAACTATCAAACAATCTGCTACGTTGTCGTATTTTAACAGGTGATAAGGTTGGAGATATTGTATTTATAAATCGTATTACGCTGTATTGTGAGGATATTTATCCTTTTACTTTCAAACGACAGCAATTTCCTATAAAATTAGCATTCGCAATAACAATAAATAAAAGCCAAGGACAAACTTTTGACAAGATTGGTGTAGACCTTCGTAAAAATGTATTTAATCATGGGCAAGTATATGTTGCATTTTCACGAGTTAAATCTTGGGAATCATTAATTATATATTTAGGAAATCAAAGACCTAATTTACTAATCAAGAATTATGTTTACACTGAATTATTGAAATAAAAGTAAATATTTTTTCTATAAAAATGTCTGAGTCGTTATATATTTTTTTTCTTCAAAAAGGAGTGTGTCTCAGTATGGCTGTCTTTACGCGTAAGACTTTCTTCGACGCTTCTTATTGGTAAATTAGGTCATTTTTTTGAAATAAGATTCACACGTAAGATTTCTTTACACGTTTCTTTCTTATCAATTGGTCAAAGACGTTTTAATTTCCTAATTTCAAATAATAGTTCAAACTTCAGATAATTAAGACACTTATTTGTACGTATTTTAATGTACTGCCAACCAGTTCATCCAAATGAACTTTGAAAAAAGTTTAAAGATAATATTTCTCAAGATTATTAACGAAATTTTGCATCCCATGAATCTTATAGAAAAGCATATATTGAAATAAATTATTTTCTTCGAAATGACGGAGTACTTACATTTTTTGTATAATATTTACAGAAACCACACTTATATTTCTTTTTTATAGCAAAAGTAGGAACGATTTTAAGAAACAAAAGTAAATTTTTAATTTAATATCCTCTGTTTATGGCTTTCTTTGACAGTAGAGATGTTTTTTTGCTAGCTAAGTGAAAAATAGTTAAAAATTGTTTATTTAGTAACGTTTTTCTTTCATCACTATTTTTTAAAATATAAATTTACTATGGAAGATTTTAAATGTTACAAAATTTAATTAACAAATAGATTACTTTGATTATAAAAAGGTTTTCTATAACTTCATCGTACAAAACTTTTTATAAAATGTGCCATTCTTGAAATATACGCTTTTCTTTGAGCAAAGAAAAGTGTTTTTTTTTATCAAAACCATAAACTTTAGAAATGATACATTTAGAAACAAATAAAAACAGAACTAGAATTGTAAAGGTATAAAAAACTGTTTTACGCACAACATAGGCTATTATTTTATTAAATTGAATAATATTTAAAAATTCCTATTATCAGAAACTGTCACTCAAATTGATACCTTAACAAACAAAAGACTGTAATTTAAAGAATAAAAATGCAAGAGAAAAAACGCGCGCGCGTCAGCGCGCGATCGTTCTCGTTATTATAAAATCTGTGAAACTCCAACCACATTCCAAGTCGTACCTCACAGGCCATACTTCGTGATTTTGATGCTCCCTTTGCGCTAGCATAAACAACTCTAGCTTTCAGTAGTTTATTTTTTTGCATTTCTGACACTGTTAAACCTGAACAAATATTTTTAAAAAATTTTATTCTTAATTATTATCTTTTTCTATGCAAAAAAGGAGATTTTTTCGTTTATAATTTTGAATTTGAAATAATTGAATTCTTATAAAAGAATTTATATAAATTTCTAAAAACTAATTATTAATTGAGTAGATTATGATAATAATTGAAACTTTACTAAAAATTAATTAAAATTTTCAAAAATAACTGTATTTTTCCAAGTTTTTTTTATATTAAAATTATATTAAAAATATTTAAATTGTCATAAAAAATGTAATCAAAAATGTTCATAATAATTAAAATTTTGCAAAGAATCTTATTTAAATTTTTCCAAGTAATTGATTTTCTGAAAAGAATTTTCTTAAACTTCTTCAAAATAATTATACTTTTCGTGGAATTCAATTAAAATTGTACTGAAAATATTTTATTAAAGTTTTGAAAACAATAAATAATCATATTTAATTATTTAATTAGTCTATAATTGAATTTTTTCTGATTTTCTTCTTTCTTGAGATATTTGACGTTGTGATATTAGATTTGCATTGTCACCACTATCTCTTCTCTTCTTTCGAGTTTGTGTTTGAGGACAATTGGAAATTGACATTTTATCGTCATTATCGCTGTAGGCAACATAACGATTAACAGTTGTTCTTTGTGGCATTTTTAAATGTTATATGCGATTTCAAGGAAAAAATTCTTCTCAAATAATCGTTTCGCCGTGATCTCATTCCAATTGTTTCAGTGTATTATGTTCTTCACCCGCTAATTGAAGACCAATGACAACGCATTTTTTTGGCAGCTTTGCATAACACTAAAGTAGAAAAATTTTTAATTATTTAAATAAAAATAAAAAACGAATATTTAAATAAAATAAAGACAAATAAAATACAAAAAGACTACTTTTGGACAAACATAAATTTTAAAATATAAAAAAATACTCAACAATTTGATGAAATGGTTGTAAACTTTGATGAAATCATCTAATTTCAAATCCAACTGCATGAAAACTAAGTCAACGAGCAATTTTTCACAATTTTATATCCGTAGCGACAATTTCCATAGCACCGACACCTGTCTTCTCCACGGCTGTTATTAAATCCGTCAATTCTGGGAAAGATGTTTTCTCGATTCACATTCCAAGTCGTACCATATAGTCCATATTTCATGGTTTTGACGCTCCCGTTACAGTGCAGCTTCTATGTTTCTATTCCTATTCAATAATTTTTGTAAATAATAAAATTCTTTTTAGGGATTCAAATATTTCTCTACTCTCCGAAATGTCAAAACTTAATTCTTACATGAAATTGTTTATTATATTATAAACCTTTGAATAATAGTTGAGAGTTGTTAAATTTCTTCTCATTAGTAAATTAAAATAATTTTAAAAATCCCACGTGTATTTTAAATGTCATTATTATTGTTAACCTAAATCTCATTTTATCAATCACTTGCAGCAACCCAACAGACAAATAAGTAATTTTAATTTAATTTTAGTTATTAATTAAATAATAATTATATTATTAACTATTTTTTTACAATTATAATAAAAATTTATTATGATTGTGGTATAAATTTAAAAACATTTCCTATTTTTAAAAAGGGAAAAGTGTAACCCATATATTATACTCAGAAATTATATTTACCTGTAATTAACTGCGTAATTCTTCCTTGCGATATTTAAAGCACTTTTTTCGCAACACTTTATAATTATAAAATTTTCAATGGTATTAACACGCTTTTACCGTGCCGTATTATCTCTAACTATCCTTGCCCCATGAGTCCATATTTCAGTTTTTTCTAAATTTTAAGGAACGACGTGAATTAATTTGAAAATAAATACGATATTCGTGTTCAGCAGGAAATTCAACTCCGTAAAACATTTTACGTAAAAAATATTCTGAAATTCTAATGTAGAAAACAATATGATAAACATTACGTTGACATTTTAGCAAAACAGACTTTTTTCAAAAATAATCTCCCAACTTCGCAAATGGCGACAGATTGACTTGCAATTTTTACAATCATCTTTTGGTGTTAAAACGCGAATATACTATGAATTACGCGATTTTTGAGCAAGCCGTCTAAGCATAACAGCAACTAACTATCCTTGCCCCTTAACTATCCTTGCCCCATCCTCCCCTATTCTTATTTAGTATGACGAAATTAAGAATATCCTAAAGTTTCGTTGCAATCGGTGCAGTCTTTCTAATTTTTCGCATAAAATAGGGTCTCTCCGACCACTGTGTGACGATCAATAAGTATATGATTAAAAAATAAAATTTTCGAAAATTTTTTAATTCTTTAAAAAAAATACTTGAGATTTTGTTAAAAAATTAATTAATAATTTCTATTTTTTACTAAAACGAGAACGATCGCGCGCGCGTTTTTTCTCTTGCGCATTCCTTTTTTTAATATTTTAATTTTTTTAAACAAAAGTACTTACAATGAGAATAATGGCGCAAATATAATAAATGTTTTAAAGAAAAATTGAAAAAGAAATTTTTATGAGTATGATAATCAAGATCACCATCAGCAGTTGTAGTAAAAATTGCTGCAACTTCATTCACACTTTGTAAATTATAACGTCTACTATCCATTCCAGGCTTTAATGAAAATAATAATTGCATCTCAGGCTCAATTTATGCATTATTTTCAGTCATTGTTTTTTTAATTTCTTCATGCATCATACGGTAGGACTGTGCAAATAGGTTACAATCCCGAAGGGCTGTATCTATTCCATCATTTCGGAAGCTTCGTTTTGATCAACAATAAATAACTGTCCAAATGAAGGTTAAATAACTGTCCTCCACTCATATTACAAAATTGATTTGATGGCACCCACGAATTATCTGGGCATTTTCTTCATAATATACGACCTTACAATAATTCATTTGGTTTTCCTTCTTTCAACGCTAACTTAGTTAATTTTAACAATTGACGACCAGGACCATATTGATTTGAAATACATGGTCAGGTTTATTATTAAATGAATACATCTTTGTATGCAGAAAGAAACGAGACGCATGCTTATTCCCGAAATCTTTTTTAACCAAATAGTTATTTGATATAAAACTACTTAACTTAAAATTCACATAATATGCACATTATTTGATATAAATTTCATTGCACACAAAAACCATTTAACATAAATATCATTTGTCATAGAATTCATTAAACAGAAATATTATGTTACATAAAACTCAGATAACTTAATTCCCATTTGACATAAAAATTATGTAAGATAAATTTCTATTGACATAAAAATCATTTAACATAAATTTCTTTTGACATAAAACTCATTTAAAGTAAATTTTATTTCTTATAAATTTCATTTGACATCAATTTCATTCGGCACAAATGTCATTTAACGTAATTCTCATTTGACATACATAAATATCATTTAACATAATTCTCATTTGACATAAAATATACTTGACATAAATTTCATTTAGTATAAATCCCATTAGACATAATATTAATTTGACATAAAGTTCACTTGATATCAATTTCATTTGACGGTTAAGTCATTACACATAATTCTCATTTGACATAACATTCAGGTGTCATAGATTTCATTTTACATAAAGATCATTTGACCTAGAAATATAGGCGCGAATTTCAAAATTGGCGAATCACAATGTTGTTGATAATATCTAATTGGTTACTTTTAAATATTGGCACCGATATTTTTATGTAAAATGTAATTTGTGTGAAATGATTTTTATGTCAAATGAGAATTTTGTTAAATGACTTTTATGACAAATGAGAATTGTGTTAAATGTTTTTTATATCAAATTAACTTTATGTCAAATCAAAATTATGTTAAATGGGATTTACACCAAATGAAATTTATGTCAAGTAAATTTTATGTCAAATGAGAATTATGTTAAATGGCATTTATGCTAAATGAAATTTATATAAATTTAATTTTACGTTAAATAATAATTATGTTAAATGATATTCACGTCAAATGAAATTTATGTCAAACTAATTTTATGTCTAATGATATTTATGTCAATTGAGAGTTACGTTAAATGACATTTATGCCAAATGAAATTGATGTCAAATGAATTTTATAACAAATAAAATTTACTTTAAATGAGTTTTATATTAAAAGAAATTTATGTTAAATGTTTTTTATGTCAATAGAAATTTATGTTACATAATTTTTATGTCAGATGGGAATTAAGTTATCTAAGTTTTATGTAACATAATATTTCTGTTTAATGAATTCTATGACAAATGATATTTATGTTAAATAGTTTTTGTGTGCTATGAAATTTATGTCAAATAATGTGCATATTATGTGAATTTTAAGTTAAGTAGTTTTATATCAAATAACTATTTGGTCAAAAAAGATTTCGGGAATAAGCATGCGTCTCGTTTCTTTCTGCATACAAAGATGTATTCATTTGATAATAAACCTGACCATGTATTTTAAAACAATATGGTCCTGGTCGTCAATTGTTAAAATTAACTAAGTTAGCGTTGAAAGAAGCAATACCAAATGAATTATTGTAAGGTCGTATATTATGAAGAAAATGCCTAGATAATTCGTGGGTGCCATCAAATGAATTTTGTAATATGAGTGGAGGAGCAGGTAGATCTTCAAGAATGACTTGAATGACGCCATGTTTACAACAATCATGAAATGAATTTTTTTTATTAGATACTCTTTCTGCTTGGAAATGTTTAGCATTACAATGCTCACATGAAATGATCATCGCACCAGCAAAATGTTCTTCTATATGCGAGACTGAAATACTGTCAGAGAAATTTTGATTCTGTGCAGAATTCCGTTTTTTTGGCGATGAGTTCTTTGATAAGCTGCAGTTTTTTGACGACCAGAAATATTCGTATTTGATAAATTTGCTGTAACAGTTACATTATCTTTTGCTAAAGATGTATTAACAGTTGTAGAGGATTTTGCTGAACTTATATTTGGTTTAGCCACTGTAATAATACTATCCTTTATATTGAAAGTAAGTAGGAAATTCGATCCGTGGAAGGTAAAAGTATAGACATATTGGTTTTATGTCATATTTTTATTGATGTCAAATAAGTAAAAAGATAGCGACGTTTCGATGACTTGGTTTGTCATCATCATCAGGCTAGGCCTAAGTAAATAAACAATAAATTTACACCACAAATAAAGACGAAAAGAATAAAATATAAAAATTAAAAAAAATTAAATTAATTTAAAAGTAATAAATTTAAAAAAGGTATTTACCACATCACAAAAAAACGTTACATATTAAATTCGCGCAGTAATAACTGGCACGTCGAGTTTTAGAGAGCGTTTCGTCAAGACTAAAATCGTTTTACAGAAAAATAGAACTCTAGATAAATTGGAGGAGTCAATGAACTTAGATGTAAACAGCACGTGGCGATGACAAGGTGACAATATTTTGAAGAAAGAAATCAATCATGAATTTAATTTGCTTATTAAGGGAAAATAAATTTTATTTAGGTATAAAATATCCTCTTTTTTATTAATTGTATGTTTGTTAATTTTTATGTGAAGCATTTCAGAAAAACATCGTTTATTGAAATTTGGTTCACGATCAAGAATTTTTGCATTTTCCCAGTCAAATTCATGATTGAATTCAGATTGATGCGCTTTGACTACAGTTTTGGTGTTGTTTTTATTATTTTTGTGTTCGTTAATACGTGTTTTCAGAGCACGTTTTGATTCGCCAATATAATTCGCAGGACAATTTTTGCAATTAAATTATATTTATAATTATATTGTGTATACATAAAGACCACATTGATATAGTAGTCGACACATTTAACTCTTATCATCCAAAATTAAAATTCACTTATGAACTCCAAGTAAACAATCTAATTAACTATTTAGATATTTCTATAATTAACAAAAATAATAAAATTACTTATAATTGGTACCAAAAACCATCTTCCTCTGGCAGACTTATTAATTTCTTTTCAAGTCATCCATCACAACAAAAAATAAATATAGTTTATAATCTCGTGGACAGAGCTACCCTATTATCACACCATTCTTTTCACAAAGACAATCTAATGAAAGTCAATAAAATTTTAATTAATAATGATTATCCCCTTGAATTTATTAAAAAACATATAAAAACTCGTTTAAACTATTTAAAATATCGTAATAAAAATATAAATTCAAAAATTATTAATGCAAAAAATTTGTTATACAAACAAACTCCTCCTTATTAATCAAAGTTTTTTTCTATTTGTTGGTTGAGCTAAACAAAATGGAGAAAAAATTAAATATTTTAATTTAAAATATACTATTCCAACCCCCCAAAAAATAAGCAAGAATTTTTTAAAAATCATTTTGAAAAAGTGGGCAAAAAGGACATTACACAAAACGCGGAAAACGAGAAGCAATCACTGTCACAAAAAGCTAAGTCATTAACGAATTCAAAGAAGCCATTAAAAAAAAGGAAAAGGTAACTAAAAAAAGGAAAAATGACAACGAAACGAAATGAATCAAAAGCAAAAAAAAGAAACTATGAAACAAAAATAATTAAAAACTAAAGCAAAGAACACGGTTACTACAAAAAAAAGAGAACTCAAGAAACAGGAAAAAGTTAAAGCAAAGAACACGGTGACTACAAAAAAAGGGAAACTCGAAAAACAGGAAAAAATTAAAGCTAAGAACACGGTGACTACAAAAGAGGGGAAACTCGAGAAACAGGAAAAAATTAAAGCAAAGAAGACGGTTACTACAAAAAAGGGGAACTTAAGAAACAGGAAAAAATAAAACAACAAAAAAATACTCGACAAAAGAGAAAAAAAATTAATAAAACGCCTAGAAAACAAAAAAAAATTACTTTAA